GCATCCAAAATAAAAGTTTTTGTTTACATAATATATGTGTGTGTATACTGTGTTTATTTATTATGTATATATAAATACACACACATACAGTATATATTTTGGAAATATTTACATGTATATATTTATATTATATCATATTATATATAAATATATTTAATATATAAACATAACATTTTTCTTAAATACATACATTCATGTTTTTGTATTTATATATACATAATAAATATACACAGTACACACACATATATTAAGCAAACAAAAACTTTTATTTTGGATGCGATTATTCGCGATTAATCGTTTGACAGCACTATATATCCATATATATATATATATCCATGCTCCATTCCTCATGCTTCCATGCTTAGATCGGGTTTGTCATGAAGAGCCAAAAAAATAACAAATCCCATTAATGTTCTCTCTCTTAAAATGTAAAAGAGGGTGAAGTCTTAAGGACTGAAGTCTGCCAGGTAAAATTAGATAACTGATTCAATTCAGTCAATCTGCTGTTTTATTCCTGCTGTTATTTCTGGTCGGATGCTTCCATAAACATTGAGTTTATACATAGAGGTACGTTCCAACATATTTAGTAGTGTGTAAGTTGGAACTCAGTGTGTCTTTACGTCAGAAGTAGCCAGTGTAAACAGCTCATCTGGACTCACCATCCAGCCACCGCCGTCAGTGCTCATGTCACAGTAAACCCGGACCGGCTGCTTCTCGTCTCCGCTGATGTAAATGGTGTACGGCCCGGAGGACGTCTCTCCGTTCAGCAGAGCTTCTGAGCAGTCCTTGCCGTTCCTGTAGCGCATGCCAACTGCACGAGGAAGAAAACAATCAGACACAGATAACAAACATAGATCACAAGAACAGTGAGTGCATTTTCTCACAGTCAAAAAGTGGATGTATTGTAAAGAACTTTATGCATAAAAATGTCATTTGACTGCACAATAAAACAGTAAATAACCTTAATTCAGGGTTCGTACAGAAACTGCAAAATGAAATTCCAGGACTTTCACGGACTTTTCAAGCACTATTTTTTTTTTTTGGTTTTCAAGGACTAAAATCAGAGATCACAATATCGCTATTATCTTTCAAAATCTAATAAATAAACTAATAAAACAAAATGGTACAAATAAAGTGCAGCACATGCAAATCATGCAATGGCTGTGGCAATTTGAAAGGATACTAAGGCAAAGTTATCGCTTTCCTTATTCAAAGTGATTTTTTTTATGAATATTGACCTGAAGAGTAAAAGCTTCATCATACACTTGGAAAGTTATGAGCTATATCATGCTCGTATACACTCGGGGTGTGACAATACACTTAGCTCACCAGATGAGACAAAATACAGATACTTAGTTTACTAGAACGAGACAATATTTAATACTATTTTTATGAAATTTTCAATGACAAAATATTTGTCTTTTAATCACAAAAAGAAAAACAATGTAGTTGCATTTTGAAACATTTAACTGATCTAGAGCCGTAACAAACGATTATCTTGGTATTCAAGTAATTTACTGATTATTTTGACAATTGAGTAATCTGATATTTTTTAGTAATAAAAATAAATTAACATTCACACAACACATCATATTGTAAGAAACATGAGGCTTAAAGTTCAAGACCCAATAGCTTTTCTGTTGAATCATCAGATTTATATAAAAATGTGTTCATGTGCACAGAAAAGTAGCAACAACTGTGCTAATGACAAACAATGGCTAAATACACTAGATCAACTGTATGACTGAATTTAAGAACTGAGTCTTTATGCAATGAACATTATTGCATTAAAGTTTCCATAAAGTATTTTCTAGTCATCTGATTAATATATATATATATATATATATATATATATATATATTAAACTAATGATGAGACAATAATAATTGGTTCAAATAAAGTATCAAAACCAAGTAATCACATGGTTTTATTGAACAACACTGTTAAAATACATAATATAATATGCCTATATATAATATGAACATAACCAATTTAAGTACATTATGTATTATAACAAATACCTGCAGAGGGCACCAAGCGATGTTGGGTGATGTTTCACTTTACAGCGTGATTCAGCGACGTTTAAATCCATTTAATTTTAATATTTGGACACAAGCAAATTCAGAGCAAGGGTTTGAACTTTTATTTTGAAATAGCGATGTACAACAAATCACATATTTAGACACATTTAGAAAGGTTTTTACCACAAAATCAACTTTTTACTGATATCGCGGGACCACTTTTCACCTCAAGGAGTAATATCGCGAGATCTCGTGCGTGGCTAAAAGCCAGGCGAAAAGGCTCTGTTTTTATATCAGACGAGCTGCATCGTTAATTTAGCAAGAAACGATTGTTTTTTTATCGAAAACAAAAATTAACACTAATTTCATATATACTGCCTTTTAAACATTCAAGTACCTTTTCATAAATATGGCTGTTTTCAAGGGTTTTCCAGGACTTACATTTTAAAAAGTCAAACTCAAGTACTTCAAGCACCTTGTACGAACCCTGTTAATTATTGCATGGTTATTATTGTTAACTAAAACCATATTTTTTTCCCACTATTTGAAATCAAATAAAGAGTAACTGAAATAAAATATTTTTTAAATATATATATATATATATATATATATATATGAAACAATAACTGTGATACTCTTTTTTTCCCTATTGTGTATCATTAATGTTATTGATTAAAGATTACAAGAACAAAAATAATGATGTACAAAGAATGTGTTATTTTAGAACAATTGAAAGGTGACATATTATGCCCCTTTTTACAATATGTAATATAAGTCTCTGGTGTCCCCAGAATGTGTCTGTGAAGTTTCAGCTCAAAATACTCCACAGATAATTTATTATATAATTTTGAAAATGCCTATTTTGGGTGGAAGCAGAAACAAGCTGTTTTTCGGGCCTGTTTCTTTAAGTGCAAATGAGTTGCTGCTCCCCGCCCCCTTTTCCAGAATAGAACTCGTATCTGCTAAAAACATCTGTTTTGGTTCTGATTATCATGTTTATCGAACTGAAATCATGCATTTGAAACCATATGAGTTTAAACTTCAGATATAAGGTTTTCTGAGTGCACATATCCGAAGCACACGGACAGAAAGCGGCTGTCACAGCATGTGAGTACTAAACTAAGCTCTCATTCACACACAAGTTTACGTTAAAAACACACGAGTTACAAAAACAGTCGGTTATGTCTGTGAAGGTAAACAGCTGGGAAATAATCGCTTGTTTATTTTAGATCAAAAATGAGAAACGTTGCCTTGGAAACTGATATTATTATTTTTTAAATGGAATATTGCTGTACGAATTGCCCATTTTGATTTCATGGTGACTTTAAGGGTGATCCGAACAAAGTTTTCGCAGCAGCGCTAGAGTAGAAGTTGAGCTGTAAGTAAAGCAGCAGTGTGTGACCTGTGCTGAAGACGCTGCTGATCTGTGTGCTCCTCTTGTCCTCAGCGACGGCCTGCAGTCTGACTGTGTGTTCAGTGCTGCTGCTCAGATCAGACAGACTGTGTGAGGTCGCAGACGGCTCTAGATTCAGCTCCTGTGTGAACATACAGCAGTTATGATCTGAATATCAGTAAAAAAATACCTCATCTTTTAAATAAAGATTAAAAAAAATTTTTTTGCATGAATTGTATACAGTATAGTAAAAAAAAAGAAGTCAACAGTTTGTGTTGTAAACAAACACGAGTTGATTTTTGGTTGAACAATCCTTTTATATGGCCTATATTCTTCAACCACAAGCGTAACATGCCCAATAGCAGAAGTGGGTAACTAGAAACATCTGAAGGTTAGTAGTATGTGAGAAATGTCTGACCCTGACATCGCCGTCAGACGCTTGAAAGGTCAGGATATATCCGGTGATGGCGGCCCGCGGCGGCGTCCAGGTGAGAACGGCGCTGTCTGTCTGAATATTACTGGCAACCAGATCCCGCGGAGCGTCCACATCTACATAACAGCAGAGAAATCAGATCACAGCCACAGTTATTCAGACAGTAAGAGGACTTATGACTGAGCAGGAAATAAATTAAAAACGCATTTATTCTTCAGAATCGATCATTAAAGTTTGATAAATTCAGCATTAGTTCATTATATAGAATATATAGTACATTGCATTCTACCTATCTACCTATCTATCTATCATATTTTTATTAGTATTAATAATAATAATAATAATTTGTGATGCACTAAATGATTTCATCTTCAATCAGGACACATGAGAAATGAATAGTACATTTCTTTAAAAAAAACTAAAACAAAAGTGGTGTTAATGTAGATTATTTGTATTTTTCTGAAAGATTAAATATCTTTCATTTTGAATCAGGACACATATGATAAAATAACAGAACATTTCTTAAAAATAATACACATAACATTATTATTATTATTAATGTTATAAATTTTTATGATACACTAAATGGTTGTCATTTCTGATCAGGACACATAAGATAAAATAATAGGACATTACTTAAAAAAAAAACTAAACATTAAAAGCTGGATTAAAGCTACTTTTAATAAAACATCATTATTGCTACTACTATTATTTATAAAAAAAATTGTGATACATTAAATGGCTGTCATTTTCAATTAGGACACAACAAAAATAGACGACATCTCTTTAAAAATCTTGTAAATATTTTATGTTAATATTAATGTTGATATATTAAAGTTAAAGGTGTGTTTTGCATAAAAAACATATGCAAAAAAAACAAAAAAAAAAAAAAAACAAAACATGTATAAGAGATTTTCACTATTATTTGTGACCCTGCAGCACAAAAGCAGTCTTAAGTCGCTGGGGTATATTTGTAGCGATAGCCAGGTAACCCATTGTATGGGTCAAAATTATCGATTTTTCTTTTATGCCAAAAATCATTAGGATATTAAGTAAAGATCATGCTCCATGAAGATATTTTGTAAATCTCCTACCGTAAATATATCAAAACTTAATTTTTGTTTAGTAATATGCATTGCTAAGAACTTCATTTGGACAACTTTAAATGTGATTTTCTCAATATTTAGATTTTTTTGCACCCTCAGATTCCAGATTTTCAAATAGTTGTATCTCGGCCAAATATCGTCCTATCCTAACAAACCATACATCAAGCTTATCCATTCAGCTTTCAGATGATGTATAAATCTCAATTTCGAAAAATTGACACTTAAGACTGGTTTTGTGGTCCAGGGTCACATTTTATATACAAATGCTCTCTGTTTCATGCGAGTCCCCCATATAGAGTAAAGTGTTCATTAAAGGTGTGCCGCTGTATTAGATGCGGCCTGTAGGGGGCGCTGGAGCAGCAGTAATGGCTGAAGCTCCTCTCACCTGTGGTGAAGTCTGTGGTCGCCGGAGCGCTTTTCTCTCGGTTTCTGATGGCGTAAACATTGACAGTGTATTGAGTTGCTGGAGCCAGGGAGCTCATCTCAAACTCCACCGTGTTTCCAGAAACCTGCTCTGATATCGGTGGCACTGTGCAGAAAAACACAAGAATCCGAAATGATTCTATAAAACTCAAACTGATGAAAAATAACAACTGAACAACAGATGTGGGGTTTATTTCGGGTTGTTGACATGTCAGGCAGTGACAGCAGTGTCCTGCAGTGTGACACACGATACTGAGATATCTAAAACTATTTCTGCTCTACTCGGGGTGAACAGCAGCAGAGACAACGCAGACAAGTCAAACACGAATAAAGAAACCCAAAATAGAGCAACAGAGGAGTTTCCTCACCAGTGTCTGCACTGTATGTGATCACATATCCATCCACGGTCGCCACGGCAGGTTGCCACAGCAACAGCGCCTTTGTGTCAGTGACATTGACAGCAGTCAGGCTGCGTGGCGTATCCAGGGCTGGAGGCAAATAATAAAATAATACATTAAAAAACTAAAACTTTACTTTGTTACAGTATTATTTGTATAAACTATATTCAATTTTATGTAAAGTATAAATAAACTATACGAAACAAAATAAATTATACTGTATATATAATTTTATGTCCCTGAATACCTTTCTGTCATATATATACACATAATAAAATAACATTATTTCGTTATGATTTTAATATAATATATTTATACAATAATATAATATTTATATAATTCATACTTTGATACCTAAAAACTAATTATGTAAAACAAACAAATATAGCATATTAAATCAAATAAAATTAATAAAAAAATATTATTTTACATTATTTTGTTATATATAAAATAAGGACTATATATTTATACAATGGTATAATATTTATATAATTTATTTGAATACATTTGATATATTTTCATGTCTTCACATTTGAAAGTACATTAAATACTGATTTGTTACATTATATATAATTTGATATGATATAATAATATATATTTAGGTTTAGGGTTTTGTTTTCAGATCATTAACACTCAGTTTGAGCAATAGTGATGCTTATCTTAGAAAACACCACTAACCGGATAAGTTACTAAACCAACCTGTCGTAAAAGTGTCGGACACTGGTTCGCTCTCCTCCAGACCTTTCACTGCAACAACCGACATCTGATACGCCTCTCCAGGAATCAGCTTTGTCAGCGAAACCTGAGACTGTGACCCGTCCGCTGTCAGGATCACGGGAGTACCTGTTAAAACACAGAAGAGAAGCAAGACTTAATGCATGAATTCCATCCAAGCAAATGGATTTAAATCAACTGTTTTTTTGTCTTTATTTACAACACTAGTTCTGTTGTTTGCAATGCTTTCAAGCATTCTTCAGGGTTTAATTAAGAGGACCGGTACTCGCCTCCTTGGACTGGGATGTAAGTGATTCTGTAGGAGTCCGGCTGGGATCGCGGTACAGTCCAGGAAGCCACAGCTGTTGTGTCCGTGATATCGGAGAAACGAAGGTCCCGTAGAGCTCCAAGGCCTGCCAGACAGCAATGCAGATCCATATTTAGCAACAGAAAGAAAATCATTGAAAAAATTGGGAACATGATCCACCCAGGGTCCTTATGGCCATTAGCTTATGAAGTTAATTCAAACAGCCACTGGAAAACGGACAAAGAAAGACCACTGAACTGCAGGAGAAGCGGGCCTTTCCCTGGTGCAATGAAAAAAGGCCTAAAAGAAAGATCCATTAGTCAAAATAGTGCAAGAACCATCCACAAACTCTTCCATTTTTAACATGACCAATCATGCCAAAATCATTCAATTGCATTCCACAGATTTAACCTGGAGCGAGACGATGACAAAAAGAAGACATGTTATTTTGACCATGAACCGACACACAGTCATTAGTTTTCAGTGCATGCGGACAAATTAACATCACGTTTCCCCACAACGATGATGGTTTAGTAGTGAAATGAACATCGGGACACTTTCCTCTGGATGCATGACCAGACACAACGTTCCTTCGTGAGAGCATGCAAGGTTAAAGTCAACATGAACTGACCTTACTTTATGACGTTTTGTCAAAATGTCTGTTTATAGTGTCTAAAGCACCAAGCAGTCTTATTCTTGCTGATTTGAAATGCATCAGGTAAAATGGCTTGCGAACAGTATTTGCTGTTGACTTTAACCCTGGATTGAAATATATCATGACAGATACATTTCAAATCACGGTGCATCACAGATCAGTACCTGTTTAGGATGAAGAGTGTTACTCAGTTGTTAAAGATCGCACTTCCATCACATTGCAGCCAAGAAAGCCCCTCGAGTCCAGAAATGAGCGAGTTTGACAAGTGCAATACCTGTTCTGGCAACAGCAGTAATGGGTTGGGAGCGATGTTCCAGCGTGACACCGTAAAGCTCAATTTCATACTCGGTTCCCCCCAAAAGCTGCGTTAAAACTTTGGTTCTGTCATCGCCCGGCACAACGAACTCTCGAGGGTGGGAGAGCTTTCTCGAATCTCTAACTTTGAGAACGAATCGATCAAAGATGTCGTCTTCTGCCGTCCAGGCCAGCCGGAAACTCTCAGGGGTGACGTCCGACACGAAAAGGTGCTCGATCTCTGGCTCTGCCTCTGATTGACAAGTAAGGGACATGTGTCTTTTTCTTGTTTTAACAAGAGTTTGAGACAGACTCGAGTGTGTCTCCACGCATTCCACATGCATCAAGTATGAGTATAACTACCCGTGTTAGTTAAACTATGGACGCATAGCTGCAACGTAAACGCGTCCCTTTATGACTTTTGACGCCAGTTAATATTGTAAATGGCATTGCAAATCAAGCATGCCACTTACATAAGACTGTCTTTCCCACTTTACAGTGATTTCATGCATGACTGTGGTTTACGGCCTCATATAAGACTGTGTTTCCATATGGGCTGCTGGTGAAAAACTTTCCCAGCTAACAGGGAAGGTTCTGGCAATGTTCTTTCAGTAACATTCAAAGAACGTTTGTTATTGAAATGTTGGCACCAAAATGTTATTTACACATTTAACTTGCTACTTGTTTCAGATGGTTCAGAGAAAATTATTACAAAACTATTAGTTTACATTATTTTGTTAAAAAAAAAAAACATATACAATACTATAATAATATTTTTATAATTTAAATTAATACATTTTATATTAATAGAAGTTTCATTTAAAGGTATCTGAAACATTTTAGTTGAATGTATGTCTAATGTTTTTAAATGTTACTGCTTGCTACTGTACTTGTTTCAGATGGTTCAGAGAAAATTCAAAAGTAGCATTTTGTAACAAAATGTAACATTCCCTTAATGTTTGCTCTAACATACAAATAACCAAGGAAAAAAAGTAAAAAAAAAAAATAAAAATAGTGAGGGGATATTTGAATTATTTGTTAATAAACTAATGTTTTCTGAGTCAAT